CGAGCCTTGGTATATTTTTGTTGTATTTTGTTAAATTTCGAGGCTAGAAATATAAGGTGTTGAAATAAAGTAAGTGAAGTATGGGAAAAATTACCTGGTTCAATGATGAATACTATATTTGACAAGGAAAGAAGGTACATAAACATATACATTCCAATACTCTTTTCCATATAACTCAAAATATTACTTCCCGAAAACGAAATGCCGATACACAAAAACAAAACTGAACAAAAAATAATTAAAATAATATGTTTTAATGTTGTTTACTTTATGATAAAGAAGATATTCGCCATAAGAAATAATGTAAACGTGTACCTTTATAATAATTAGGCTTATAGCCTCCGGGCTCTCACGTTTTTGGGGAGTGATGTTAACCCGCAGTACATGAATTATAACCGTTGTTTTGTACAAGTTAAAATATAATTGCGTCCATAGAATATCATCGATACAAAGCCTGTATATTAATTGAAATAAATCAATAATTAATTTCAGTTTAAATTAGATGCAACGCAGTTCTGTTAATGCCTTTTCGATGTGCTGTCCGTTCCAGTGACTGATCTAAATATGTCATTTCAATTCCAAATGAGCGTCATTGTAAAGGTCAGCTGAACGTTTCCATGAAAGCCTTGTTTGTAACGTTAGGCTTTGTGTAAATCATTGTACGTTCATATTAAATTTAACAGGAAACACACCGTATTAATTATTTTGTATCGAAACATACATACATTGGATTCGAACAGATTTTCCTTTGTACCATGTATTTTGTAATGCATAATTGAAATAGTTATGTAGATTATTTGACAAAAAATATTTTGTTTTGTTTCGTAGATGTTTATTTTTGATTTGTTTTGAATCTTTTGATTTAATTAGGATATCAATGTATTGAATTCGTAATTATTTAGAGATTTAAAGATGTAAATCACAGAGATAGAAAACATACTACATGTATAAAAGTTTTGATCAGGAGTTTATTTGCTAGAAGATAGAATCAGATTACGCATTCATGGTTAGATAAAAAAAGGAATACCGGTTAGTTCTTACAGTTACCAGAGTTTTGAAACCAATTACCTACATATTATTCAGTAATCAAGCCATAGCATAAAATACAGTACAGAGTTACTCCAATTTAAATGGTTTTTATTAATATATATATAATAATGTACGTAAATATGTAGGTATACATGTAGGTATATATAAACTGCTAATTATTATTATATTTAGTTAAACTTCATATTACTTGAGCATTATGAGTTTGAACTTAACAGAACAAAAAGAACAAAAGATTGTTATAATGGATCTCGGATGTTAAATAAAAGTATTACTTTGTAATAAAACATGTATATTTCATGACTGAGTTAAACTCATGATAACTTACTAAGTAATGAATAGCTAACTTAACCAGTTAATTTCAAAGAAGTAACTTTTTTTTGTTATTCTATTTATTATCAGAAAACCCTTACAATTGATATTCATATATTAAAAATTATCCGCCATCTCAGTTGTTCCACCATTTATAAATTTTCAACCCAATTAATTACATATATCAGCTTTAAAAAAATACTTGATATTTCCAACTGAATAGACATTATTACATATATATTACAAGTAAAATAAAACGCTTGTAACGTTATGCTTGGCCGAGTTTTGGAAGAAAAACAATGAATGATATTCTTATGACAAAGATTCTTTAAGAAAAATACCTTTCAACTCAGACGTAACTCTCGTTAAATATATTTTTTAGAAGTATATGATATACATAGATCGTATCTTAATTTGAAAAATAGTAGAGAAATGCCAGACTCGTTAGAATTACAGTAATAATTAGTAAAATAAAAACAGTTTGTTTGGAGCTCATTTAGACTTTCTGAATTTCCCACTTACATCGACACGAAGAGAGAAACAAATGAATGCTAAGAAACTTATAGAGCGCATGAAAATTATTGTTATATAAATATTAGAAATTATATATAGGTATATGTATGCACGAAAACCTCTCCATTTTACGTAAAAACAAAACCTCCTTTTAAAGAAGTAAGGCAATGATAAATAGTACAAAACGTGCCTATTTTCAGATGAAGCTTCATTATTTTATCGAGAAACTAGCAATTGCTGCAAACATTTACAATCCTATTTGTCTAGAACTTGGACAATTCTCATAATGCACGCCAAATTATGTTCCAGTTTTATGAAAATCATTCTCAACAGTCTTTGTGTCAAAGTGAACACATGCATGTGTAAAAAATCTATTTTATTGTATTATTACGTAGAAGTAACATGCAACTAGCCTTTGAAACAAACGCGTTATATAACTGTTCGTGCTTAAACTATCAGGAAAATAACCCCATTATTAACTGCCTTGTATATTGTATTGTAATATTTAATCGATGAGTTTTTCATATGTATTCTTTGGTGCTTTCCTAATATGGAAATCAGTTAATATATTCGATATTTCTGAAAATATTAATAGCTAGAAACCATCGTATCGTAGAAGCCGTGGACATTTAATTTTAATTCACGACTACAGATTTTGTAGTCTCAAGACACTAAAGAAAAGAAAAAGGTATGAAATATTTATTGTATATGAGTAATTGGGCACAAATGTCGAATTGTTGCCAAAGTGGTTTTATTTTGTATATAAATATAGACAATGACAGAACGAATTGAAATCGCAGCCAGATAAGTATAATGTTGTAGATATGTAAACATCACAATGTACTGATTATATACATATAATTATAGGCTTGCTTATCAAGAAAATGAATAGGTATATTTTTAATTTTCAGTAGCTCGTTATTTTTATAACGTGCTTTGTAAAAAATGCTTTATATTATTTACGATCCCAAATCGTTGAAAAACGTTTATCATTCAATTTAGCAAACAATGGAAAATATGATTTTTCAATTCCTTTATCAACAAAACTTTTGAATCATAAAAGAATTTGGATTTTTCTTTGTTATTTAGAATTTTAATAATGAATATAAGCAAGATTTAAAATCATTTGAGCAAAGTCATGTCTATTGTTCTTACTGTCTATTTAAAATCTTTATCTTCTTAGTACGTATTTAAAAACTGACATAGTTATTTTTATTTCACTTATTTTTTCGAGAAATAGACACCCAGTAACGAAGGTATGTAATATATTCGAAAACATATCAGAAACAATGCTTACATAAACTTGTCACTAAAAAATTACACATAGAAAAATTATATTATAGGGACAGCTATTAATTGCTACAATTTAGAAACAGTCAAAATATCGGTACAATGAAATGCACGATAGTTTTAAAGAAAAATGGAACATTATTATGGTTACTGAGTTCATTCTCATGAATGTACTTATAACTTGCTAGCTCATACAGGTGTTCAAGCAACAGTTTGCTTTGGATTCTCATTCCAAAGACCCTTTGTGTTCTACATAAGACTTAACGCGGTAGCGAGGAGGAATACTTAAACAATATACTAGTACATTTACGAACATTTTATTCCACTAATAACACTAAAACCTACTTCCAACTAGCTGTACATAAGCTTCAGTATTAAAACAAGACAATTTTTATATACTACATATAAATATGTAATAAACTAAAGTTATATTTACATTTCGTTACTGTAAAATAAGTAAATTTCGCCTCATACATAGTAAAGTTTTAAAACTTCCTAAAACAACCGATAGATGGATTTCTTTGTTCACGTTTTTCATTTCAGTGTTAAAGCCCTTACATAACACCCTTTAATAAAACATGGTGTTACGCTCCCGAAATCGAAAGGGAATTAACTGGCATTTACCTGGATCTTGTGTTCAGTAATGCTACCCTTTGTATATGAACTTAAATTTATCAAATAATTATTATATAGCTGTCTCGTCTGACGAATGAAACGCAATTATGTTTAAGCATCTAACTAATTTTATTTAAGTTATAAGAAAAACAAATAGTCTGTTTAAACAATTCCACGTTTATTTTTACTTCTATTTGTAGTCAATATATTAGAAAATTCATTTAGACCTCTTCTCTCCATGACATTGCTTAACTACGGACTCTAAAATCTCATTTCAGTCTTTTTGTAACTGAGGAATACTGACAGCTACTAAAATTATTTAGTCCGGAAAGTTGCATATGAATGGAGACGACATAGAATTGTAAATACAGAAGTTATTAAACTGTGACCTTACGATGTAATATGTAATATTAAAAAACTTTATATTATATATTATAAGGTATATTTATATTTGAGCTAGAATAATAAAGAAGATGTTTAAAAATGAGTATATGCAACATTTTTGTTTATGAAAACATACGTTCAATTTAATACGTGACCGGGAATTTATCCGTGAATTGATAACTATTGGTTTACCTTCAGTCACTTAGGTTTTTACTAGGAGTAACCTGATATATTAGCTCAATAAAATGATTAATTCTTTATATTTACACATTGTATGTTAATCATGCTTCATATAATGATATACATAAAAAATAAGGAAGATTAGGATGATTTTATTGAAATTGGACGTGGGCCACTGACTGTCACAGAGTTTGGGTAAATTTTAATTAAATCGTATAAATATATCTATGCATGTCCATTGAAAATGTACAAATTTATTGAGCACAAAAGAGCGCTTGGAGAAAGAGCAATACGTAAATGAAATTTCGCTATGCTTATACAATGATGAATAAAAATATCTTGTAAAAGGAAAATATTAAAGATATAAACACAATACAGCGTGTAGTATACCCGCACAATGGGTAAGCGCACAGAAAGCTCAGCATATAATATTCACACAGAGCTCACTTCGATAAATAATATATTTGAAAGGTGGTTATAGTGCTTTAACCTTTAGCAGGAAGAAGTATTATTAGATAAAAACCTGAGCTATATATCTTCATATTATAAATTAAATATTTTTCGTACATTGTATTAAAATCGTGTCCAGATAAAAATTAGAAGACGCTCGAAGGGAAATGCGCCAGTTAGTATAACAATCAGGGAAAAGTTTAACTTACCCGGTTGATTCCACACCGTTGCTACGTCAAGTTTGAAAGTGCCCAGGAGTTTGTTCGTTCGAAGAATGTGTCTCGACTGCAGCACCTGAACAAAAATATTTAAATCAAATGCTAGTAACACTCCCTATAATTATTTCTAATGTAAACTTACTTTATGGTACGTCAATAATTATTTTAAAGTAAGTAAAATTGGTATATTACAAAATAATTGTTAGATATTTTCCCTCGCCACTCGAGGCACGCCTCTCTAAATGATGGGGTCTAGTAAGATTGTTGTTTAATTATAATTTCTTGAGGAGCATCAAAAAGCTTCGTACCCTGAATAAGAATAATGATTCATTTTTACATTTTATATAATAAAATGTCATTAATATTATTCATCTTTGAAAATTAGTTCAAAATAATTTATAATTGATTCTACTGTCCATAAAATATAGGGGCAAAAGTAAAACTTCTCATGTATATGGAGTTGCAAATAGTTTTTTTCTAACGAATTTATTGTTTTACTCAGTGAACGAGTTGGCCAGTTGAAATGGTTTCAAATTCAAAGTGGAATTCTCGCTTCAATTACCCGTTAAATTCCAGTTCACTGTCCGTTTGCACTACAAATAACTGTTAAGGAATAACTTTTTTAACGATACAAAGTTATGAACACTTTTTTTTATTTTCCTCCATAGTTTGAATGAAAAAAATTATAAAAGAATTATGAATAATAACAAGACTGCAAATAAATGTATCGGTTATTAAATGTGTTAGGATATCTAATTGATATTGATATTGATTGTGTTTCAACAAATTATTATCACAAAGAGAGAAAAAAATCGTCACTGAAAGCAATATTTATTTTGTAAAGTTTGAGCATTATTTTAAATCACACACTCTAGTTTAATTTTTAATACTTCATTGCGAGATAAATGAATTTTTCAGTGTACGTACATACAGTGTGTACGTGTATATATGTACATACGAGTATACTTACCTACTACATATGTAAGTACATGTCATTTCAAGCTGACAGTCTGACGCTCACAGTTATACCCCATAATTACACTAAGTTCAGTCTCACGTCACACTAACTGGGTTGGAATTAATTTTAATTTACTGCCGTGACCTTTCCACTCATCTCATTACTACTTAATTATTTGTTAAAACATATTTTGGTACTTCTAAAATAGTTTCAGAATATTATACAAAGGAAGTCTTGAAAATCAATAGAACAGAAAAGTTAAAAGGTAATTTGTTTTTTCTAATTTTATTCGAAAGAATGTGAAGTTTATTTTGTACATTTCGACAGGACCCGGTTCCGTAATGTTTCTAAAGATATTCTTCAAATAATACTCGATCCTCCTTTGATACTCAATTACAAAGGCTTTCGTGTGATTAAAGAGTTAAGTGTTTTTCAATTACGGTGGAGAATTTATCCTGAATCATATACATAAAGTAATAAAATATGTCGATAAAATTATCAAATTTAAAAATCGTATTTATTTATCTATCTACTCTTCTTTAATTTTTTTAAAACTGAATCTTAATTACTAAAATTTAATTATAATTTTAATTGCTATAAAGCTATCATCGGAAAACTTCGAAATCTAATGAAATCACATACAAATACTTGCAGCCTAATTCTTTTTGTTAAGAATCGTAACTGTTGTTTTATAATAATGTAAAGCTTTAGGAACATCGAATAGATTTTTGTTAAAGTTAAATTCCCGTCTCTCCGCTTTGAGTGAGACATTTATTTTGAAATTTTCTTCAAAAAAGCTTTCAGTTCTTACATTAATTATGTACAGAAGCTTACGAAAACGTCAACTGTAGTAGGGTTTCTTTTTATATCTTTAATAGTAAGAGTGAACCATAGAAAATTACAAAAAAATATGAAAAGTCAAACATTCAAATAGAAGTATAAAATAGTTTTGATTTTGCAAGTAAAATAAGCGGAAAAATGAAAATCCGAGCTCATCCTCATGGGATTTCCATCACGATTTCAAATAGAAAAACAGATTAGGCACTGCTAGTTTATTTAGCACTAAAATCGATTTTTTTTTACACATCTGATAAAATACCGTACACAAATTACTTAACTTTGCATTTGGAAATTTTAAACAACTGTTCACGAATTCCTTCTTTTACTTGAGCTACATTACGTCTTTTGTGATTCTAAAACGAAGAATTTCCTTGTGAACTCTAAAATATGCAAAACAAACGCCAATTATCTCAATATTTAACACAATCGTTATATAGACGGGTCCAATCTATCTAAAATATCATTTGTCAAAGCAACAATGTGGGTCATGACCAGGTCATTGTGACTATAGGGACATCATAATTCATTAAATATTAACGATACTTGTTCTATCTCACTCTGTATAAGTAACATTGTTTAGTTATAATTATTGTAATATTGAACTGATAAGGAAAAATGTTCTTATATAAAAGCAAGGTCTCATTAAAATCGTAAGGTATTATTTTATATAGAAATATGTGCAATTATATATGAAAAGGAATGACTATATATAGATCTAGAAACGTTTTCTTTACTCGTGAATGTCATGTCGCAGAATATCAGAACTATTTTACCGAGAAATCTTAATGAGCAGTCATACCTTGAATCTCTATTTGCATGAATTATCACATTGAAAAACATGTAGCTTCTATTTCTGAATGTACATTTATTGCACTTAATAAATATTTTCAAGGTTTGTTTATATTGAACTAGCTTTTCGTCCGCAGCTTCGCTCGCGTGGAGTTCGGTTATATCGCGTTTCCAAGAGAACCTTTCAAAAGTCTGGGATAAAAACTATCTTATGTTCTTTCTCAAGGTCTACGCTACCTCTGTACCAAATTTCATTTAAATCAGTTCAGTGGTTTAGGTGTGAAAGCGTAACAGACAGACAGACAGAGTTACTTTCGCATTTATAATATTCGTATGAAATACTATTAATGAAGTAATTGAGATATATATTACACAATATACAACATGTAGTTAGTTATTTTCGGTGGTTAGTAACAATGACAAATGGTACGTTGCTAATGTGTATTACGAGCATCGTGTTAACAAACAGACAGACTGTTTCTGCCAGTACATCTTTATCACAGAGGATCTTCGTCACTTATATCTGTTAAACGTCTCGCTTGGAGGAACATTAAATATTTATCAAACACTTATATACTGAACAATCTTTCAAATTGTTAAAATAAATTTCTAATACTACTATGATTATTTGTACTTTGTTTCAGTTCTATTCTTGAAGACCAAATTTCTGCTAGCAACTTCGTCGGCTTTGTTTTCAGGATTAGTTATATATGTATAGATGACCGGGCGAACTGTATTCCGCCCTAGGTGGGAAAACTAGCCAGTTATTGGAATTTAATAAGTTTTTTTTTAATAACTTTCGATCGAACAGAATTAACCATCCTATGTCCATCTCCTGGTTTTAAACTATTTACCCACCAATTGTCAACCATTTCCGTACAGTCGTTCTTGAGTTATAAATAGTGTAACTAACACGACTTTCTTTTATATATACAGGGTGACTGGTGAATTACTATCAATATTTAAGGAGAATACTCGGTACATGATGCTCATTTGAATTATGTAAAAAAATAGGCACTTAATTTTTGACAAAATTTCCGTATAAATAAATAAAGTGTTGACAAGTTCCAAGTGTGGACGCGTGCGGCGGCGTGCTGATACAACGTGTGTGTATACCTAATCTGTAGGGTGTTCACACGATGCGTAATTAATTACAAAACCTTTGGTTAACTTTACTTAGAAGTTTATTAATATTTATGTTATATTAATTTTTATTTTGTTATATTTGATCGTCAAATATCACGTCCTCAAGTATCGATAGTAATTCACCAGTCACCCTGTATATATAGATGTTATTATCCTGGTAATGATATGTATGTATTATATAAATATTATATATATTTTCCTTAAGATTTCATCTCAATATAATCCCTAATCAAAGTGTCACTTCAATCTGCGTCTCGTTCGTGGTTTGATACGAGTTGAGCGATCTACAGATCTGTTCAAAGGAATGTGTTTCAAAGGTGTATTCAGTGTTAACCTGTTAATAGCTAGTGTTTAAGTGTACTTAATTATTCTGTCATATAATTTTGTTAAATAGCAATTATGTATTTATAATAATATCATATATTATTATAGGATTTTTATGATTTTTTATAGTCTGTTTTTGATATAGAATTTGTCACAAATACTCAAAATAAACAATCTTTTTACATAGAAAGATGCTAAATATTTTAACAACATATTGTACCTACTATTATATTTATATCTAAAATAATTGTAACGGAATACAAGCTGTTCTATAATTCAATACAACTCTCGGCTTTCAAGTAATCCTTTTTAGTATTCGCATCTCTTAAATCTCCAAAGAAAATCTCGGATACACGAAACAATAATTCTTCTTGAAATATAATTTACTTTCCTTTGTCTAAATCATCCCTTATTCATTTTAAAGTTTGTTGTAAAATGTCAGTAAATAATATAAATGCTCGTCTATTTCATATTCGTATCATTTTTGTTCTTCCATTATTTCAGTCCACCTGTGTGACCTAAATTGCTCACTAAAACCATTTATCCAAAAATGTGAGCGATGTTTTAAAAACATTTTGATACACTAGTTTAACTTGAAATAAAATAAATCTTAATGGATTCTGATAAATCGAAATATCCTATTAATTATAAATAATGAATAGACAAAGTGATTTAAGAGTTAAGTGTATTATAAAGTTATTAAACATGCAATCAATCTGTATTGGACATGGAAAACATAAGAAGAAAATCCTTAAAATTTACCATAAATTAAAGGTCATTCGTTGGAATAACTGATCAGCTGCGGACGCTTAGATAATGAATATCACATAATAGCTGCTAGGAGCTCATCAAATATTAAATCAACACGACCTCAGTGGCATCCTAGTTCAACTCGGTTACACAGATTACTACAGAATATTTCATGTTAAAAATTACTTCCTCTAAAACCTTTTGTTCAAATCGCATACACGTGAAATAAATTCGCTCGAATTCGCCGCCAGTTATATATTTATGACAAAAAAAATCGCTCTGCTCTGAATGCTTCGTAAATATGTTAGTAAATACTTACCGATAATGTAATTATTTTGTCGAATAGCATCACCGGTGGCATGTGGAAGTCGAACACGAAGTACTGTTGGAGAAACAAGAACACATTTATATTAAACAACAGTATTTGAACAGTAAGCTTCTTAAAAGTTATACTAGCTTATTAAGAGTTACCAACTTGATATTCATAAATATATATACATTATGATGTACGATATTTTACAAGTGAAAACTATTAGTCACTTTATACCACGCAATTTGTTAACGAAAATTTACAATAAACGGAAAAATGTCACTCAAAATTAAACCTTATTGATTAGAATCCGAAAGAAGACTCTTAAATGAGATCGCTCATTAGATTTAAAAGCATTTTAGATTTGCTCCTAACATTAAGTATTTACAATACGTATTGAGTAAGAATTTTGGAGAAGTTTCTTTGAAAAAGTCCCTAATAAAAGAGAAAAGAAGTATTGTAAGAACTGAAGTTACAAATAAAAGATAATGATATATAAACAAAAATATTGAAATGTTTTAATAAATTCGATATTTTTTAATTATGTTCATAATTATAAAACATGAATAATTACTTCGCAATCATTGGATATATATACCGAATATTTTTTTGTAAAACGTATAAAAATTTAAATCAGAAATGACTTCAAACTAAATACTGTTCATTTTGCTCGACTCATATCGTAGTTTTCATGTCACATATACAAAGTTCGGTCTTGTTAATTAAAAGGGTTGTGCATTTGAATATTACAACGTGGTCTAACGTGGACCTACGTGCCCCAATTATAACATCTTGTCACAAACATGTATCAGACGAAATCGTATTTCTAGTTTAGTAATGAAGAGTTACGTGAACTATCAAAAACTTCAAGGCCTCTGGAGATTTAAACTATGTATAATATTATCACTAAGCTTTGATTCTAAGTTAGGGTCACGATCAGAGTTTAAGTTCTTCGTATAAGTAAAGTATATGATGCTCTTACCTCATTGTAGTAGGGGCAGTTTGTGCTGTCCTTGACGCTGGTGTACTTGCGAATCTCTCCCACCTGAATGCACACCACGGGGTCCATGTTGAGGCCGGCCAGCTGGCGAGCCTCGATTATCGTAACGCATACTTGAAAGTCAGTAGCCTTCATGGCCGTAGCACGGCCAGTGTCTACAGTTGTCCGTCTGAAAGAGTGGTCAACTTTATTCGACTGCTTTTGAATCACCCACACAACTGATGTCAATCGGCTCTTTACTTTCATCCGTAATCAATATGATAAGAATATTTATTTCGATAAATGATCACCTGAAGTTATAGAACGTATCAAATTTGTGCTTCAGTAAAAATCCTAAATATATTTAAGAAATATGTGATAACTATGTTTATTTTATAATTAAAATGTCTCACATTTTACGCAAATTGAGTACGTCAGCGTCTGTACTGGTATCAACGAGCATTTCATCGGAGTTTTCAGAATTTTGACTCATTGGTCTATCAGGAGCTGAAGACGGTCCTGGTTGACATTCCAGCAGGCCTTGTTCCTCGTCACTGCTGACACGACGAGCTCGGCCGAATCGAATCAGATTTCTCATAGTTCTCAAAGGCGAAGTACGCCTGCCAGTGCTGGTAGAAGGTCTGTTTTGGGGCGAGGTGCTCTCTACGAGTCTCACGGTTTTATCACCGCCAAAAGACAATCCTTTGCTGCAAAAAATTATAAATATTCAAATATGAATATCTTGTTGACCGATACAATGTGTAAGTAGACTTTATAAGAAATTATTGTTTTACCTTAGAATCTTTTTGCCGACGTTTTTGAGTCGTTGGGATCTTGATTCATCACTTGGTTCAACGTCAGCGACGACTTCTTGTGTTTGTATGGAGCGCTCAGCTGCGGCTATGTTGCGCTCGAGTTCATCCAAGTATTTAGTGTCCTCATCTACTTCCATGGGGACTGTTTCGATTTCGGGTTCTGGCTCCGGATCCATCACTATTGGTAGGGGATCTGGGTCCCTACTAGTAGACGGTCCTGGCATAGGATTCATCATGTGATCACGTATTGCACGGTGCAGCGGCCGAGGGACGTGTATCCCTGGCAAATCACCATCAGGCCGGCGGTGAACTTCGACCACCGCTCTTCCTTCTGCTTCTAAAGCATCTCTCTCTCTCACAAGATCTTGCGGGATGTAGAAGACATCCATGTCAATGAAGACCTGAACCAAAAAATACAAAATATGATCAGTTATTTGTTGTCCTTAAATTCAATTATTGAGTTAATTTATATTAATCCTGACATATATCAATATGGGCTTAAATATATTATTTTATTCTGTTCATTATCATAATATTGCTTTGTTATTCGTTCTTGGCGAGGCGATTCTCTGAATAATATAGCAGGAACACTAATCCTGGTGAAACAGTAATCTGACAATAAAATAAACAGCTAAGAGGCAAGTGCTTTCAATACGGCTTTGCTAATAATTAATAAGAAGACGAATGAATTGCGACACTGACCAAACACTAACACTATTGTTTTGATATAAAAAATACACAATTTAGTGAACTAATCGGATTATTTCTTTATATATTTGGATATTAAAAGAAAAGAATATAATTATACTAAAAGACAGTCTTGTCATGTGTTTGTGTATAATATATTTGTTGGAGGTTTACGTCCAATTATTATTTATAATTTATTATAGCCGCATCGGATCGGCGTGTGAAATATTACCGCATGAGTAATGTATGGGAGGAAGATCTCCGTCTCAGCTGAGAGATATAATAATATCTATATATTGTGTTGCTACTATGTATATAGAGTAAGAGTACTTTCAATAATGGACAATGTTTCATAATATATTCAACAAAGTATCTAGCAGGTTGAAGTTCATGTTTAGAATTAATTATATCAAATATTAGTGAGTTTCATTCGTTCATTCCACTACTATCGTAGGTTTTGTTTGTTTAGTGAGTTAATAACGTATTAATATAAAATCAACAAGTTTTATATAATTGGATTAGCCTTATTAGAATTTATATTCCGTTGCCAATTAACACGCTGAAAGTTTGCTTTAGATTTCGATATTGAAATCTCATTTGTATAGTTAATTGACTGTATCTGAGCAACAAATTGTATTGAATTGCAGCACAGAAATATATCCAGTTACAAATACGTTTCCTTCAGAACTTGGAGTTATTTTGGTATGTTCAATTTATTATATTATCATATGTAACATTATTTCTCTCATTAACAGAAGTTTCGTACAATTCTTTTGATCTGTCACTGTTTAAACATGTTTTAAAACTTGATTCGATAAATCCATTGAAATAAAGAAAGGAAAAAAGATCGATGTATGAAGCTACATCCAGACTTACTACTTGTTAAGGTTTGACCAATTTGAAATATGATGAAAACAGTTTATAATACTGTCTGATACTTTGTTTATAGTCGATGTATTTTAAACATAAAAAGATTATCCATATATCGCACAGTATAAAACTGAAAGCATCAATATTTTGCTATTACCAATACTCTAGAGATAACGATATAACGAACGAAATTGAATTAAATGGATGTCGACATGTTCATTGATTTAAATTTTTATTTATATGTAAAAAAAAAGAAAATTTCATCCCACGTAAACCGTAGACAAATGAAAGCTCAAAGCATACTAGAACTCCGTCCGTAGTTGAATTCGCAACATGACCAAAAGTTGGCCAATTAGCGATGAAAAATTATTCCGAATTTTCTGAATATACCGTTCATATTCCTCTTGGTATTTTATTAATATTTTGAATGTACGTTCCTCTTATTGAGAGGAAGGCTTTTACCAATCGAGCTGGCATCATGAAAACATTATGAGACTGTATTAATTATTGATTTCAAAATAAGCGTTTTATTATATTATAATTTAAAAAAAAAATAAGGGGGCTTTAAAGAATTAAGTATTTTAACGATAACTTGTATATGACCCTATAATCAAGCTGTATAATGCTTCCTATCTCATTGTCTCCCACGTTAAATCTTATGAATTTATGTGTCTGTCTGTTTTTCGTTTCCTATATTTTCAAATCCCAACGACGCTAAAGACGTTTCGACTAGTTCGTGAGGTTCTTCAGGCACGGAAAATGAAGAAAATTCGAGATCCAACTTCGTAGATGCCTTAGATCAACTTTACATTCGATAGGGAACTGGGTATGATGATGATGAAAAATGACGTTCACATCTCGTCTGAACGTGATCACGGTTGCTGAAAAGTAACCGAAACATCGGGAGTATGTAGGAAAAATAATAAAAAAGCTTAGTAATCTGAAAAATATTAGTTTTTTTTAGATTAGATTAGAATTAGAATTAGATTAAGAGAAACGGGAATATTGATATATTTTTTGTACTTTTTAGTGTGTCCAGCAAGTAAAACAAACAAAACAAAATAAAAGCATTATTAATCAAAACTAAATAAGTGTCGTATAATAATTTATCAATTATTAGGTAACATAATAGGTAGGTGTTGTAATATACATGTTTTCTTCAAAAAAAAAATCAGCGTGTACTTGAGGTTAAAATAAAAAGGTATGAATCTTCAACTACTAAGAAAAGATATTTCATTAAAAAATATTTTCTAATTTCTCCTAGCGAATTCAACAAGACAATCAAGTAAGTATAATAAAATTAGTCGTTCTAGGTAAGCTTAATTTTAATTAATTATCTCGACTATGAAAGATAAGAAAGCTAGTTTCAGGTGAAACTATTTTTAATTTCACTAGAATTATATCAAAGGCAAATATTCTTTAATAAATTAAAACTATTTTTATATAAGAAAAGGGGCAGGAATTCTGAGAACTTCTTCAATATAAACGTTCCAAGACACTGTAAAAAATTGAAATTTCTATGAAGTGAGCAAAGGTAAGTTAAAAATTTCCATGTGTCCTATTGCATTGTTTGCAACTCGGCTTCTCTTAATGGGTGATAAACGATTTCAGACTGTAAAAAATACGAATGTTTTAGACGGTTATAGGATTAAAGGATAGAAAATGTCTGGTTAAAAACATTTACCGTAAAACGTGTTAAAATATAAAGAAGAAAGTTTTATATTCTGTGTCATTATCGGAAGATAAACTTTAACAAAATTGTTGTTTTAACGGTCAAAATAACGTCCGAAGTTTCCCCCAAACGTTATGTCCAATGTTCAGAAGCGTGCAATCAAACTTTAGTCGAAACTGTAACTTCTTTCCCAAGAGCATTTCTTATCTCTATTCTGTATCTATTTTAATAATTGGGTTAAACGTGCACTTCATCTTATCATAATATTAAAAATTTAATAAATCTTGGATGAAAGTTTATTCATTGGTGGTTAAAGAAAATATATAATTTATATTAAAATAAACTACTCGTAGCAAAAATAATTTGAGGCTGTCTTTAATTAAAAAATGTTTAGTTTTCATAATTATTATTGTTTAAAGTAGAAAAAAACAAAAATAGTTTAAAAGGAGAATAGAACTGTTTCAATCTTGTTATAAATATGACGTCTGGACGCACGACAGCAGAGTTCAGGGAATGCGGACGATTGAAGATTGTAATTATGAAGAACCTTCCATAAATATAAGTAAGTATATTTAGAATAATTGAAGTTCCATTTTAAAGTATCGTGGAACGTACTGGAAGAAGTGACATTAGTGACGTCGCGAGGCTGGCGTCTTTCTCTTTAAAACAAGGGAATTTGTGTTAAATTCGACATATGTATATAAATTATTCTTTCTTTTAATTTATTATAAATAAATCCGTTGATAACAATAAGCGGGTCATTATCGGTGGAGTATATCAAACTACCAGTAATAAAACAAAGTTTGTATCAGAGTACGCGTGGCGGAAATAATGTTTCCTGAATAAACAGTAGAATTAAATTATTTTCATATGTATGTGATGTTTATAAACAATAAACTTTATAACTCAATAGTGAAGTCGTTTGGCTTTAAATTTATAACAATACAGGCTTATATTTAATATTACTTGTTGAACATGTCACTAGCAAACATTTTATGGCAAAAGCATTTTGCAGGTAAGTCGAGTTTTAGAACTACATATATTTTATCTGACTAGTGTTAACAGTAGTGCATCGTTAAACTTCATTATCAGCCTATCAGAGCCCACTGTTGAGCAAAGGCCTCTACTCACATGCAGAAGATATGAGCATTAATCACCACGCCTTGCTCAAGACGGTTCGGCGATTTCAAACTTATAATTGGAAATTATAAGTCTAGGTTTCCTCACTACGTTTTCCTTCATCTGTCAGTGGTGTCTAAATACTCTTAGAAAGTACGTACGACGCGGAAAAATCACATTGGTACTTGCTAGGTTTCGAACCCGCGTCCTCATATATGAGAGGTGGGCCTTTAACCTCTAGGCCACCACGACTACTTCGTTATACATACTTCATTCAGAACATTTAAATTTAATAATATTTTCTAATAAAGAAAGTTACGTAATGTAAGATATATTAATTCTAAATGAAAACAAAATTCTTCATATATAATAAAGTTACAGGTTTACAGGAATTAATATCTTATGAGTTCGTACAAGCAGAGTGTTCGCAGGAAATTCATCAAAATATTTCATTTACGGCAATCTCACTGACTCAAGTATAACAAGAGCGACATTATGACGTAGTTTCTATGTAATTCATATATAACTTTTGTTATTAAACTACCGAGCTCAATAACAGGTTCTCAGTATTCATCTTTCTAACGCCTCGTTCTCAAAGCTTCTATTCAATTCAGTTTTCATACATTGCGCTGAAAATTTGTACAATTAAAGTCAGCGTAGGTTACATGAAATCCACATTTGAATTCAGTATAGGAAATATACTGAAACAGATCTATAATATTAAAGTTATAACTCTTTGTTTCAAATACGAACACTACTTTGATTTATGTTCTAATTTATTTTAAACAGTTGAAGATGGCAAATAAACTGAGTTTATCAGAATCTAAAGCTTCTATTCCACTATTGTAGTTACTTTAAATTAAATCCATCTCCATTTCAAAGCTATTTCAAGATAAGAAATGACGTCGCTTAAATTAACCTGATCAGTTACAAACAGAGTCGAGAGAAAAACATGTTGCAGAAACGCTGAGTTCGTCATCTGATATGCAATTTATTACTTGACTTCAATTGCAGTTGAGAACATTCAAATAGAATTGTCTTGAAGTTATGTAA